GACGTTTATTACCCTTTATTATTCTAGATCGTTTTGTTTATTGCTGTCACTGGATTGGTATGTAATGACAGAACTTTATTTTGTATGAAATGTAGATAGAACATTTTCTTTAAAAAGCAATCAGTAGAAGTACTACTACTAAAGTAAGGTTGGTAGGCCTACTACACTAGCTCCAAGAAACGGTATTGCTACTGTGCTAGGGTTAGAATACCGTTTCAATCATTGGCTGCAGCTAAACAATAGTATAGACAATCCGTCGCACAGCCTGGTCGGGCTAGTACTACACTAAAGTAAGTCACTAAGTGTAATTTCGTACACTAACCCATAAAGTTTGTCATAATTTATGAACTGGTATTGTGTTTGTAGTACACTACTCACTAGTAATATATACAGACCTGAGACTATTACAGTGGATCCCCTAGATACGAATTTAATTCGTTCCACAAATTTTTTCGTATCTCGAACGCTATTGGCCTATAGGACGTACAGCAATTTACGTACAGCAAGTGCGATCAATGAATCATGAGAGCACACTCAGCACAACCACATTAAATGATTAAATGAGTCATGTACTTTTAACGCAGTGGCTGGAGGTACGGCAGCCGTCGTTCGTTGAAGCCCCTTTTTGGCGTTAGGGTTAGGGTTAAGGTTCTAGCTCATCTAAACTCTCAAATCGTGAATTTATTTCTCGAAGGCGTTATTTCGAAATCTGGCGCCACCGCTGCCATCTTTGTCTCGTTAAGTATGAAAGCGAATAGACTGCCGTACCCGGAGACTCGAGACATTAAGATACGGCTGCCGTACCCGTAGCCACTGCCTACTTTGAAACTGACTCACCTCAAGAGCTCGCACTAGACCTATGCACTGATTGGCTGATTCGTAAGACGTTCGTATGTTTAATTTTATTCGTTTGGCGAATACATTACGTTCAACCACAGGCACTTGGAACGTCTCAATAAAAAAAAAAAATGTAAACGAAATGTATTCACTACCATAGTCTTAATGTTTCTCTACTCTATTTCGCCTATTAATTATTGCCGATAATTACCCGTAAATGCCGGTCAAATGCTCATCTGCAACACACAAGTACACCGCACGCCCGCCCTGTGCACAAACAACATGAATAAGAGAGCAGGTAGGAAAGCGTGATCGCAAAATTCACTCGACGCTCGCTTCATTTCACACGACTACAGAACGAAAACACCCCAAACAGCCTGGCCATCTTGGTATCTATGTGTAGCTAAATGTTCACTTGTTTGAATTATAACTCTGTCCTTTGTTCTTATCTACTCCCGCCAGAGATATCTCATGAAATCCTGCAGGAAATGTTCTCTCCGTGAAAATGTAGAGGGCGTATCATCCGAAAATCCCTAACAGCGCTACTTTCGATCGATCACTGTAGTCGTGTGTGTGTGACATCATGCCTGCGCGCATTATGCTTGGCTTGGCGGGCCTCGAAACGGAGGCTCAGAGGCAGGCAGCAGCTCATCCCTGCATGCAATGCGCCCCATTACTCGTGTATAAACAGACATCTCGGCCTCTTTACATTTTCACGGAGAGAACATTTCCTGCAGGATTTCATGAGATATCTCTGGCGGGAGTAGGTAAGAACAAAGGAAAGAGTTATAATTCGAACAAGTGAACATTTAGCTACACATAGATACCAAGATGGAGGCTGTTTGGTGTGTTTTCGTTCTGTAGTCGTGTGAAGTGAAGCGAGCGTCGAGCGAATTTTGCAATCACGCTTTCCTACCTGCTCTCTTATTCATGTTGTTTGTGCACAGGGCGGGCGTGCGGTGTACTTGTGATTTGCAGATGAGCATTTGACCGGCATTTACGAGTAATTATCGGCAATAATAAGCGAAATAGAGTAGAGAAACATTAAGACTTTGGTAGTAATTACATAATCGTCATTTCGTGTTTACATTTTTTATTTTTTATTGAGACGTTTCAAGTGCCTGTGCGTTTAACGGGAGGTCGTTCGTATCTCGAAAATTCGTATGTCGAGCCGTTCGTATCTCGGAGTCCCCTGGCACTGTGTTTCGGGGATATATTAGGAAGTTATAATATAGTAAAGTTTTTGTTGTCTATGATAGCCCGGATATGTCGATTCTTGTGTCTAATTAGCGATACGATCAATGTTTGGATATATGCAACGTTCGACATCAGCAATGCCAACACACGCAGTACTGTTATTAATTATAACAAGCAAACGTTTATATCTTCCCATGTCCTGATGGTTACAACTTTCAGGATGCACTGAAAATTTCAAAAAAATGCTACTACATAGCTTCAAACTGCATTTACACTAGGTTGATGTGGGCCTTATAATCCAGTCAGATTGCTAGTTCATGGTTGTAAGGTTTCTGATGGTGCAATCAGTATTTCATTTCACTTGAAATACACCATCACTGTCAGTGCTCGAAATGAGCGTTGTCCGGTTGTCCGAGACAACCAGAATTTGCACCGGAC